TATATACATATGTTCCCATCTCTTCCCTCTTGCGTCTCCCTCCCTCCCACCCTCCCTATCCCACCCCTCTAGGTGGTCACAAAGCACCCAGCTGATCTCCCTGTGCTATGCGGCTGCTTCCCACTAGCCATCTATTTTATGTTTGGTAGTGTATATATGTCCATGCCACTCTCTCACTTTGTCACAGCTTACCCTTCGCCCTCCCCATATCCTGAAGTCCATTCTCTAGTAGGTCTGTGTCTATATTCCCATCTTGCCCCTAGGTTCTTCATGACCTTTTTTTTTTTTCCTTAGATTCCATATATATGTGTTAGCATGCATATACACTGGAATATTACTCAGCCATAAAAAGAAACGAAATGGAGTTATTTGTAGTGACGTGGATGGACCTAGAGTCTGTCATACAGAGTGAAGTAAGTCAGAAAGAAAATCAGCATTTCTTTGATACTGCGTGCAAAAAGGTGGGAACCTAAGATCTATCCCTGGAGGTTTTCAGTCAAGCCTGGCCTGGGCTCACCAAGTAAGATGTGTTTTAATTTTTGCAGCTTCTTAAATCTGAGTTATTCAGTAGATGTACAGGCCAGAATTCTTCCCGAGAGAGCAATGACACCACAACTAAACATGTGAAGCTATCAGACTTTTACACCAACTATAATTATTATTACAATAGTGTGCCTTTTAGCACACTAATTTATAGTCTATCATGTATAAACATGATTATTGACAAAGTCACAAAGACAGAATACAGTACAACAGGAAAGAAGTAGTCCAGAGGAGTCCTTAATGTATGTAATACGTTTAACTGGAATAACTTAAGTCTTAAATCTCCTAGTGTATTTCTTAGGAAAAAAGAGCCGAGGAAACAAAACCGGGGTGATGAAACTTTTTTTATCCGACTGCCTCCAATATGTGATTCTCAAACTGATACTGGGGGCTTCCCTGGTGGCGTAGTGGTTGAGAATCTGCCTGCCAATGCAGGGGACACAGGTTCGAGCCCTGGTCTGGGAAGATCCCACATGCCGCGGAGCGGCTGGGCCCGTGAGCCACTAACCGCTGAACCTGCGCGTCTGGAGCCTGTGCTCCGCAACAAGAGAGGCCGCGATAGTGAGAGGCCCGCGCACCGCGATGGGGAGTGGCCCCCACTTGCCACAACTAGAGAAAGCCCTCCCACAGAAATGAAGACCCAACATAGCCATAAATTAATTAATTAATTAATTAAAAAAAGAAATTGAATACAATATTTTTTTAAAAACTGATATTGGCATAGTTTCTGAAAATGCTGTCACTTACCAACAGATTATTAACAGACTGACACCTACCCCACCATTCTTGGGGTAAACGTGAGCTCTGTCTCTAGCTCTCTTAGTGTAATAAGGATTATTGAGAATGCAGGCGTGAGGGGCGGAATCACTTGAAAAATCGTATTCCGGTCAAACTCAGGAAACTACTCAACTTACCAAATTAAAAATTAATAACCTACTTCAATACCTCAGAAGAACTTATGTGAGGCCGAGGGTCCCATTCTCTGTTACACATCTGTTATGCAGTATATGCCTTAAGTTTTAGAAACAAATCCCTGTCTCCTGGGATAATTGCCCCAGGTTTTTGTAGCCCATCTCTAGCTGGGGCCTGGTAACACCACTGAAATTAATTTGATAATATCAAAAATCTAGGTTAAAAGCTTTCTATTTAATAGGGCTTCCCTGGTGGCGCAGTGGTTAAGAATCCACCTGCCAATGCAGGGGACACGGGTTTGAGCCCTGGTCCGGGAAGATCCCACATGCTGTGGAACAACTAATCTCGTGTGCCACAACTACTGAGCCTATGATCTAGAGCCCGCGAGCCGCAACTACTGAAGCCCATGCGCCTAGAGCCCGTGCTCCGCAACAAGAAAAGCCATTGTAATGAGAAGCCCGCACACCGCAACGAAGAGTAGCCCCTGCTCGCCGCAACTAGAGAAAGCCCACAAGTAGCAACAAAGACCAAACGCAGCCAAAAATAAATAAATAAATTTAAAAAAGAAAACACCACTTTATAGCAGTACACCATATATACTCAATAAATATGTTTAAAAAAACAGCTTTCTATTACTGTACTGTACAGCCTGTTTTTCGTGGGGTGCCCTAATCTTTTATTAAGTGAGTATCCTAAACTATTTGGGTATCCTCACTGACAGGTTAACACAAATTGTGATCTATTCCATTTTTGAAAGAAAATCAATTATTTGCTGTACAGATCCGTTAATATGTTGGGCGTTCCTTCAAAAAGTTGTTCCATTTGGTCCTTAGAAGCCTTTGGGTCTAGATCAGTCTAATTTTGACTAGAATGTATGGACAGAGATTTTTTGTCTCTTTTGTTCGCTGATGTGTCTCCAGCTTCTAGAGTAGTGCCTAGCACATAGTACGTATGCAAATGTTGGTTTAATGAATGGCAAATGAGTTTCAAAAATCACTATTACTACCACTATTTTGACACTGTGACCTTTTGGAGAAATTAGCAAAAAATAATATAGTTGCAGTTTTTATTTATCTTCATCTAACTGCTTTTTGTCTCGTACAAGAATGCTGGAATAGTCTCAGGAGAAAATTGATCTGGGTCTATATGGCAAAAATAGTTTGTTGTCAAACCTGTAATCCTTATTTGGTAAAATATTGGTAAGTATGAGAAGTCAGTGTTCAGTTAGTTGAAGGAACGTTTCTCAGCTAGCTGCTGACAGGCACACTGAGGAAGTTGCCTCTTGTTCAGAATCAAACTTTCCAAGATCCTTATGGGTACTTTCTTGCCTCCCCTTTGCTATAGTTTATTTAGGTTCTGTTTTATTGACCTTAAAGTCATCTTTGTTGTGAGCCACTTCGAATATTTTTAGGAAAGTGATATAGTTTTGTGTAACATTTTGTGTTTCAGAAGTCACTTAGTACATATGAACACTTAAAACCAGGAATCAAAACTTGAAAGTGGAGAGGCTATTGCCTCATTTTAACAAATAAGGATTATGTCATAGGCAGCAGCAAGAATGGGGAGAAATCAAGAAAGATATTTTCATTAATGAGCAAAAAAGTGAGGTACAGTGGAGAAAACTATTCTAGAGAGAAATTTTATAAAGTCCTTCTATCTAACTATTGTTCTATCCTAATACTTCTGAAGACTTTATCTCTACCATATAAAAGAGCAGTCAGCCAGGCTGCATTCTTGGTCATAGTGCAAAATTCCAGGAAGGGAATTTTGCCCAGCTTGAATCAAGGGCTGGCCCTTATGACTCCAGTGAGTGAGGAAGGAGAGAGATGATATTGCATGAATATAGCTGCTATCTCTACACCCAAGTGGTTTGGGAGGTTCAGTAGAACATTTCCTAGAAAAGGGGTGCTGAAAATAAAGCTGTCCTCTACAATACACCTTAAAAGATAATCTAGTCACAAAAAGACTGAAAATATGACATTGGCAAGATGTCGACTAATGGAAACTCTTACTTAAAACTGGTAAAACTACCTGGGAAATGAATTTAGCATTGATAATCTTGTATAGTTGAAACTGTGCATACTCTAAAACCCATCAGTTTCACTTTAAAGCATTTATGGAAAAACTACATGATTGCACCATGGGGCATACATATATAAACAGAAGTATTGTAGTATTCAAAATATTTGACCTTAATACATGGGCACTGACCAGACACCAACTCATCAGAGCCTGTGCAAGCTATAAATAACTAATTTGGCTTTACAGAGGCATAGCAGCTGATAACCAGGTCTGTGCATGGGAATACTCAGAGCATTCATAGCAAAAAATAACACAAGTGACTTGACAGAAGCATTGATTCATTATGGTATATTTACAGAATAATCCTACACAGGAATGAAAATGATTTACTGTCATTCATTAGTGTGTCTAAATCTTGAAACTATGAAGAATACAAAGAGTATTAAATTTTCAAACAAGATCTGTGTTTAAGAATATGGTAAATCTAAAAAGAAAATGGAATGGGGGAATTAATTCCCTGGCGGTCCAGTGACTAGGACTCGGCACTTTCAATCCCTGGTGGGGGAACTAAGATCCTGTGAGTTGGGGAGGGGGGGATGGGAAAAACAAAAGCCACCTCTGCTGAGAAGTAAGGGGAGGAGGAGGAGCATACAGAATCTCAACAGTATTGTTTAATGTTCTATTCCTTGGATCTTAGGTTCATGCTTTTTGGGTGGGCAGTGGCTTCTTGAGGTTTTGTTTTATGCTAAGCTTGCATATATGTTACTAATATTCTTTTGTACATATCAAATATTTCATTTTTTATAAATTTATATGCAATCCCATTTATGGAAAAGAGGCCTAGCTTTTTTTTTTTTTTTTTTGCGGTACGCGGGCCTCTCACTGTTGTGGCCTCTCCCGTTGCGGAGCACAGGCTCCGGACGCGCAGGCCCC